ACTCAAAAAAATTTGCCGACTCGACTCATCATTCAACTTCAGAATGCCCTGACTCAACTCTGACTCAAACAAGGAGCTGATTTTTTTCCCTTGACTCGACTCATGACTCAAGCGGCTCAATGAAAATATGAGTTGACTCAAACTTGACTCAAATTTTTTGTTGAGACAAGTGCGTTGACTCAAAATTGACTCAGATAAAAAAGTTGTTGAGCGGGGGGGGGGGTAAAAAAATCCGGCAGCAGGGCCAGGCCCAAGTTGTTAAGCGGGGGGAGAATGATAAACTTATACTATATATTGTTTCTAGAAAGTTGAGTCAGCTGACTCATGTTCCTAAATGTTTTTGACTCAACTCAATGTCAAAAGTTATTTTACTGACTCAACTCTGACTCAACTCAACACCTTAATATTTTTGTCCGACTCAACTCTGACTCAACTCAACAGCTCAACATTTTATCCGACTCGACTCAAATCTGACTCATTTGAGTCAGAGTTGAGTCAAATTTCTGACTCGACTCATGAGTCAAGCACAACCCTGCTATACGAAAAAATAGACATTTGATAGTTAGTATTATAACTATCCGACTTAGCATTAAAGCATTAGCTTTACCAGGTGTTGCCGAAGCGTCTTTATTCTTTTCCTCAGGTAAATAGATGTCTGAAATGTTTATTGTTTTCAAAACGGGCTTCGCTGAGGAAACTTAATATTGAAAACAAAACATTTTTTTAAACAATTAACATTTTGAAAACAACTAACATTTTAGACGTTTGCTTTACATCAAGGTAGCATAGAAATGCACCTTTTCTATTTGCTCGTATTGATGCTGATTCCATTATAAATAGCGATCAAATTAAACTGTTCAGAGATGTTTGCATTTATCACAACCCTGACGTATGGTGGTTTGCTCCTTGTGAGTCCATTCCGTCGTTGCGGAACCGGAATGACGCAATCTAAAACCCTTTTTAGAGGCTTACATAATGCACCATTTTTCGGTTTTCTGTCCACTTTATTCGATGTTGTCGCTAGGGATTGTAGGAGGTATAGAGTTTTGTTTGCCACCAATCGGATTGAGCATACGGAACTGTCGAGCAGGTTACTTTCAGTCTCATTATTTTTGTAGAAGATTTTAACATGGCATAGAATTGCGTACGAATTAGGTAGGTTTGTTCAGTGTTCAGTTCATTGCTTTTAAATTATAAAAATGAACAGTGAGAACCAACTACTTGTCTTTGACCAGGATAGTCCGTTTTCGGTCCTTCCTATGTCCCCTTCGTGTATCAGAAAATGCTCCGGCATGTATGTACCTACTACTCGAGGAATCAGGTCGCTACCCACTACAGTTGTATTTTCCTCTTGCTGCCTCGTTCCAGTCATAGATTGCACGGTCGTCTGCCCCGGACACTATAAATAAAAGGTAGGGCCCCACGGTTCACAAAAGACAAATGTCAAATACACTTCTATTTTGGACTGGTCTCCAGTAATTCCGACCGGTTTACTTACGGCTCCATTGTTAATTCAATCGTCCGGGTGTTTTTGAGGCTCATGCCTCTTGAATTCATTCGTGCTTACTGCTTATGTTCACTAGGCAAGAAACTGAGATTCTCTCGAAAATCGCGGACGATCATTGGAGGGTTTTGGAAATTGCTATCGGATGTTGCGAATGTCGGTTCGTCGGAAGGGTCATAGAGATCTCATATAGGGAAGATGATCTCCCAAAAACGTTTATCGAAACTGAATAGTATTTATTTTGGTGGCGGGTGCGGTCGGTGACTTCGGTAGGAATAGGCATGTAAGCTACCGTGCCTTCCAAAGCAAACTTATTGAGGACGGTAAGCAAAAAGTTTATTTTACCTGCTTGAGAATGGTTAGCTGCATTGAAGTCGGGTACTGCAAGGCTAAGTATACATAGATGCCTCTTATTCCTGCCCTGTATCCAGAGCGGTCGTCAGGGGCGGATCCAGGAAAACTCCAAGGGGAGGGTCATGAATCGAAGTGGTGCCCCTACCTATACCCAAAATTAAAAACTCAACGGATTTCGTCCACTTCATTTTGGTGGTGCCCCCATTTTCAGTTTTTTTTTCTTTTTATTTTTTATTTTTAGTCAGTATCTTAACTCTTAGCCACAACCACATTTACCAATTGTAAGCAAGTATATATGAATGTGCTATGTGTATATATGTTGTGGACGCTGAGTAGTGAGTACTTACCAGGAACGTTATCAGGTAAGCGAATCGTTGTCAGTCCGACGAACTTGACCCTAGCGTCTAAAGGGTCTGTCCTTGACACTTCAGGCTTGTCAGGGGCACCAAAGTCCTTCCAGGAACACCACAAACCTGTCAGGGGCACCTACGGCCTTTGAGGGGCGCTACAGGCCTGCCAGGAAGCAGGGGCACCACAGGTCTAGCAAGTATACACGACAGGCCTGTCAGGGGCACAACGGGCCTGTTGGGCCCATGAGCACCCCTAGGGGTAGGGGCACCACAGTCCTTCCAGGGGCACCGCAGGCCTGTGAGGGGCACCAGCGGCCTAGCAGGGGCACCAGTCAACACAGGCCTGCCAGGGGCACCACAGACCTGCCAGGGGCACCAGAGGCCTGCCAGGAGCACCACCGACCTCGCAGGGGTAACTTGGGCCTGTCAGGGGCACCACGGGCCTGTCGAGAGGCACTTCAGGCTTTTCAGGGGCACCATAGTCCTCTCCGGGCGCAGGGGTAGCAGGGGCACCAGAGGCCTGCCAGGGGCACTACAGGCCTAGCAAGGGCACCACTGGTCTATCAGGGGCACCACGAGCCTGTCATAGCCAGACATCTCAGGCTTGTCAAGGCCCAGGGGCACCACAGGTCTGTGAGGGGCACCAGCGACCTAGCAGGGGCACCAGTCAACACAGGTCTGCCAGGGGCGCCACAGATCTGCCAGGGGCACCACAGACCTGCCAGGGGCACCAGAGGTCTGCCAGGGGCACCACCGGCCTCGCAGGGGCACCATGGGCCTGTCAGGGGCACCACGGGCCTGCCGAGGGGCACTTCAGGCTTTTCAGGGGCACCAGTCCTCTCCGGGCGCAGGGGTACCAGCGGCCTAGCAAGGGCACCAGAGGCCTGCCAGGGGCACCAAAGGCCTAACAAGGGCACCACGGGCCTGTCAGGGGCACCTCAGGCTTGTCAGGGCCCAGGGACACCACAGTCCTTCCAAGGGCACCCCAAGCCTGTCAGGGGCACCAGAGGCCTGCCAGGGGCACCAGAGGCCTGCCAGGGGCACTACAGGCCTAGCAAGGCACCACGAGCCTGTCATGGCCGGGCACCTCAGGCTTGTCAGGGCCCAGGGGCACCGCAGGCCTGCCATGGACACCACAGGCCTGCCAGGGGCACCACCGGCCTTGGAGGGGCGCCTCAGGCCTGTCAGGAGCACCACGTGCCTGCCGGGGACACTTCAGGCTTGTCAGGGGCGTTACAGTCCTGCCAGGGCCCAGGGGCACCAGGCCCGTGGTGTCCCTGCTAGGCCTGTGGTGCCCCTGGCGGTCCTGTGGTGCCCCTGTCAGGACTGTGATACCCCTGATAGGCCGGTGGTGCCCCTGGCAGGTCTTTGGGCCCCCGGGCCTCAAGGGGGGCCATGACCCATGTGACCGCCCCCCCCCCCCCCCCCCCCGCTTGGATCCGCCACTGGCGGTCGTAATGTCGTCGCTGCCAGAGACAATACGCAATGCGCATCTCGCAGCGGAGGTGGTTCTCTAGCGCCATCTGGGTCGCAGTTCACCGTACCGTCGCTAGGTGTCGGGGCAGTCGGCAGGTCCGCGCCAGGCCGGGTCAGGCATGCCTGAGAGCTCAGAGCTGACGTGACTGGACTGCCGCCGCTGAGTCCGGCTCAGGTGGGCGGCAGGTGTCCTTCACATAGGTGGCGCCACAGTGGGCCAGTGGGACTGCTCGGCTCTACAGTTCACAGCAGTTTTTGCAATGCCACTATGATCGCTAATATAGGGAGGATAAGCTGCCCCAACGGTTCCTGGCCCTATGAAACTTTGTGGGAGCAGCGCCCCCACGGCCCCAGAGTTGTGGGGGCAGGCTGCCCCCATGCTGCCCCCCGGCTCGGCTCACGCGCCTATGCCGGCTGGCGTCTGGCAGAGTCGCGGGGAAAGACCTGTGGCACGCTCAGACGCGCTTCTGTGACGTCCGTGCCGGGCCACTCGCGTTCCGTCCTACTCTTCCGGTTACCGGTAGCTCGTAGATAGTTGCTTGATTTCTGAGCATTATGTGTGGAGGGCATTTGGTCGAAATGTATGATGTATGGAGAATGAATATGTGCTTACATGTTGTCACAGTCTTCTGCGTTAGAGCGCTCCATAATGAAGGTTGTTTCTGGTTAACATTTCGAAAATGTGTTAATGAATCTATGAAATTATGTTGGTAGGTAGATGATTTCCGATTTCGCTTCCTCCAGTTGGAGGGGCTCAAATACATTACGAGCCCTCCCCCTCAGCCGAAAAGTTGGAGGGGCTCAGCCCCCGCTACCCCCCCCCCCCCCCCGGTTCCCACGCCACTGCGGCCAGTCCAGTTCAAATACGTGTTGCACACTGTGGCTCACCGTGACTGTTGTTCGCGTTGAACAGCTTGTTTCCTTTAAACCAATGACGTCATTAAAGTTAGCCAATTATTGCAAACCTTTTTGGTTGGTAACACTCGCACTGCAAACTGCTAGCCAATAAGTGATCAAAATATGTACGACGACATTGAAAACAATATCAATCCAAAGTATCTAAGGTCACGTCACTGGCCAGGTCACGCCACTGGCCTGACCTTAGGTCACGGATATAAAAATTGCGAGATATACAAATTATAGGGGCCCATAACATCATGCAATCCACCAAGTTTAATTTATGACAAACACTGCAGGCTGGACATGATTGCAAACTTCTTTAGGCTTGGTTAGTTAACTTGACCTGCTGACCTGACCTGACATGACCTGGGATTAAAAATTTCACACATTGTCCAAAATTGATGTACAAAAAGCTGTTCCAAGCGGCGCGGCGCTACGCGCCGCGGTTTTTTATTCACACGCAAAAAGTGCGACAGGGTGGTAACATAATATGTCCCCCCCCCCACTGGGGCTGAGGTTAAGGGACTACATGTGATACATCGACATCTGATCCTCCAACATGTCTTTGATTTGATCACGGTTCTTGAAGCCAAGCCATTCACAATATTTCACCAATGCCATATCACATCGTGTCTGGTTGATACATTCAAACAGGATGCCTCAGTGAAACACTTCAACACTGGGTTTAAAACAACAATGGTTTAACACAAAAGCACAGCTGGTAAGAGTATCAGGGTTTAATTGATACACCCAAAAATGGAGTGGTAGGCCTGCCGATGTTTAATGAACAGTATGAGTACACCCGAAAATCGGGTGGTAGACCTTCCAAGGGCGACAGCGATGAGCCGGGCGTGACCTCTGACGTGTTCGGCAGCACCTTCGGTCACCACAATGCCGGGTCCCGATCGGACAACTGCGCCCAAAAAGAGCGGCTTGATGAACAGGTGACAGCTCGCTCCTCCGTTCCTGGGCCGCGGCCTCCCTGTCGCCGGGCTGGCCGCAGGTCGTGCGAACGCTGGACATGAGGACCAGCTGGAATGGACGGGATGGGTGTTGGAGACAGGCCACTCACCGCCTGGGGCCGATCTAAAGTTCCGACGGGCATTCAATTTTTTTCGAAATCAATTTTCACATTCAAATTAATCAAATTTTTAAGCTCATCCAATTGGTCAAGGGCAACAGCGAATGACGAAGATTTCACAAAAAGAACAGATCTTCACAAATTCCGTAAATAGTAGCAGCTATATCTAAATTATTTATCCAAGTTATTAACAACTTCAGAAACTTTTCAGCCAAAGCACCCAAGTCCCGTGCACTCACCAAACACAGCACGATCAGAGCGGTGTGACGTTTCGCCATGACGTTCCACCACTCCTTCCCCAACCAGTACAGCAGCGCTCTCCCCCCACGGTGCCGGTATGCCTCCTTCTGAGCACGGCGCTTCTGCAGTCCGGCCCGCTAATTTCGGCTGCCAGATACGGGACCGGATACCGCTTCCGGTTCCGGTTAGAGATACAGTGGGGGTACTGCGTGAAGGGGGAGGAGTGAAGGGGGCACTGCATGAACTCGAGCTGCAGGGTGGAGGTCCATCGGAAAGGAGGGCATGGAGACTGCATGAAAACGAGTATTAAATGTCACACTTCACAGCGTTAAGACATGAAAACGTTTTTTTCTACGATATCGCTAGACTGAAAAATGAGCACAAAATGGTTACAAAAAAAAATGACGACTTTCATAATCTTAAGCGACCTGAGCGTCGGGCAACTCGAAAAACTTGCATGACTACTGTTGCGATAACTTTCCACTACAGAGGCATGGATTGCTTTTTCACGTTTCTTTTTTAGCATTCCTTTTTAGCTCGCCGAGTCCGAGTGTGCTTAACTAAAAAGACTCCCTCACTCACATGGCAAAGTTGGCAAAGAACCTCACCCGGCTGTGGTTTCAATAGGCTACCACTGGGGCCCCTAATGCATACACACAGAAAAATATTAACACCGTTAGCGGTGTAATTGCACAGTACATATCTGAGCACTTGAGGAAAGTTAATTTAGTCCCTTCCCCGCTTAAATTACTCGCGCTTCTAAATGAACACCAGGAAGAAGGTAATAGAACACTGTTAGGAGGGTTGGGTGTTTTGCTACATGTAGTAAAACACCCAACCCTCCTAACAGTGTTCTATTACCTTCTTCCTGGTGTTCATTTAGAAGCGCGAGTAATTTAAGCGGGGAACACACAGAAAAATATTGACACCATTAGCGGTGTAATTGCACAGTACATATCTGAGCACTTGAGGACAGTTAATTTAGTCCCTTCCCCGCTTAAATTACTCGCGCTTCTAAATGAACACCAGGAAGAAGGTAATAGAACACTGTTAGGAGGGTTGGGTGTTTTACTACACACAGAAAAATATTAACACCGTTAGCGGTGTAATTGCACAGTACATATCTGAGCACTTGAGGAAAGTTAATTTAGTCCCTTCCCCGCTTAAATTACTCGCGCTTCTAAATGAACACCAGGAAGAAGGTAATAGAACACTGTTAGGAGGGTTGGGTGTTTTGCTACATGTAGTAAAACACCCAACCCTCCTAACAGTGTTCTATTACCTTCTTCCTGGTGTTCATTTAGAAGCGCGAGTAATTTAAGCGGGGAACACACAGAAAAATATTGACACCATTAGCGGTGTAATTGCACAGTACATATCTGAGCACTTGAGGACAGTTAATTTAGTCCCTTCCCCGCTTAAATTACTCGCGCTTCTAAATGAACACCAGGAAGAAGGTAATAGAACACTGTTAGGAGGGTTGGGTGTTTTACTACACACAGAAAAATATTAACACCGTTAGCGGTGTAATTGCACAGTACATATCTGAGCACTTGAGGAAAGTTAATTTAGTCCCTTCCCCGCTTAAATTACTCGCGCTTCCAAATGAACACCAGGAAGAAGGTAATAGAACACTGTTAGGAGGGTTGGGTGTTCTGCTACATGTAGTAAAACACCCAACCCTCCTAACAGTGTTCTATTACCTTCTTCCTGGTGTTCATTTGGAAGCGCGAGTAATTTAAGCGGGGAAGGGACTAAATTAACTTTCCTCAAGTGCTCAGATATGTACTGTGCAATTACACCGCTAACGGTGTCAATATTTTTCTGTGTGTACATGTAGCAAAACACCCAACCCTCCTAACAGTGTTCTAGCATGTGTCCCAGCACCGCCCGCTGATAAATACCGACCAGTTTTTCCGGTGGACACTGTTTGCGCCACCGGCCGGTCGAGCCGCCAGCTAAGCCATCCGTCGGTCGCAGCTCTGCTTCGTTACGTCACAGACGCGTCATCGGTCTGCGGCCGAAAACAGCGGAAAAGGCGGCGTCTAAATAAGGCAGGCGGCGCCCTGCAGGTCGGCGGGCGCGGTTCGCCGGCCCCGCCCACACCTCAGTGACGTCACGGGGTGGACAGCTGACCAGGCGATCCGATCTTGACGGACAGAAGGAAGCGGAGAGATCGGCACAGACTGATAGCAGAGGCGTGGCGATGCCATATGCTCTAGATGGTGCCGAGGTCGGATCATAATGATGGTGATACTCCCTTGTTTTGATTTGTTCTAGTATAAGGGTGCACCTATGCCTTTGGCTTGACGGGACATTGTTGTTTACATATGTCAAGTCATGATTCAGTTAAAGTGACATCGGTGTAAAAAAGGAACCATGACGCAATCGGTAAATGAGATTCATGAGGGGACCATGGACACACCAACTGGGACAGTATCTAAGTCAATCTCGTACTCGTTCATGTCTAAGGTCTGGTTACGCGAAAGCTTCCGTAATACTCCGCACCCACTCAAAGCTTCTGCAATCCGCACTTACTCGGAATAGCTGAGTTTGGTTAAAATACTCGTAAGGTCCATAATGTTAATACATTTTGCATATTTCAAAGGTATGGCGTCTTCGCGCTAGTGCATGTCACATCCAAGCCGATGTCTACCACCCCATCTTTTTTTTTTGCTTTCCTCTCTGGTCGTTGTGCCAAATAACGATCGATAAAAGTCTATCCCGTTCTGCTGAGCAATCCCACACGCCAATGAATGACATTCGTGACATCACTGTTTAATTCGGCGCGCCGCCTGCGACGAGTGAGTCAGCGCTGCTTAGGACTGTCGGCCGGCTGGCGTCCGGCCAGCTCCGCTGACACTCGCGGGACGCGCCCACTCCACCGGAGAGGGGGGAGCTGAGTCGACCCAGGGGAGGGTCTGAGTCGTCCCTGTCTCCACTGAGACTCACCGGACCGCGTCTACTCCGCCGAGTCGCCTCCTATCTCCCGACCTACGCACGGAGCGCGGTGTGAATCCGCCCTTAGTCATACGACCAAATCGAGAGCCCTCCGATAAAGGTGACGTCACGGATGCAAAGTGGTGGCAGAGTTGCTCCGTTTGAGGTGCCGGGTCGGTGATAATATGCGCATGAATGCTCTATTTGGGTGAGTGAAAAGCGTCCATGGGCGGTGTTATCGTATGGAGGTGTTTGGTGCATGCCAGAACGTTCCTTGCTGGTGCACCCAAAATGGATGGGTTGTGGAAAGACATGCATAAATGATAAACGAGACGAAATTTCCTGTGAAGTTCAAGGGGTAGGCTCAGGTGATGGACCCTTTTGTTAGAGGAATCTCAGTGTTACTGACGAATGATGTCCGTGAAAATGCGGACACAATCGGGGGTGCAATGCTACCCCATATCCCTTCCCTTTTCATTATATTGTGCCCGAGAGAGGCGGTGGAAGAAATAGGGGCGTTTCGACTCCGCTCCGCAACACCACTTTTTCAATGTCTGATTCTGATTCAAGCAGTGCAAGCAATAAGCGGCATTCGAAAGAGCGTCGATAAATACGAGGAAAGAAGTGTGCTCTTTTTACCCTATGACACATGCCAATTACTACTCGCTTAGAGGCAGTTAAATAATAAATTTCCGGATTTTGACGTTCATGGACAAATCGGCCCATCATTTGCGAATTATTAGAGCTACAAAATCACATTGAAATCGACAGCTTTCCTAAACGTCTTTTGCCACTACATACACCCGCATATTTTTCTTGAAGTCAACGGTTTGGATCCCAGAGAGTCTAGAACTGTCAAAAATGGACGCTTTCGTGGAAATATATTTTTCTGCATTAACTTTCGACGCAAAGTTTCAATGAAAATTTGCCCAGCATTATGTTTCTCTCGTTGAGGGGCGTTAAAGAATTATCATTCGATGAAAGGTAACCTTTTAAAAGATGACCTTTGGTCAAGGCCATTTCCTAACCAGAAAGGATCATGGTGAAAATGAACAGCTGCAAGTAAGTGGATGAACAGTTGTACTGTAAGTAATTGCCTTCTGTCATCGTCACTCACCATGTTAGGGTATCTAGACAGCCGTAACTGAGCAGTTGTGAGACCACAACACCCGTGCGTGGGTTAACTGAAGGCTAGTCACTGAGCATTTCTGCCGGAGCGGTGTACCGGAAGGTCGGTACACTACGTCACTATGAGCTCGCAGCTCTCGGCAAGGACATTAGATACAGCTCATCCGGTGGGGGCGTCGGATGACCTAGGAGGGGAGCGGGGCACGTCCATCTCATCCCGTTATGGCCGGTCTGAGCCGCGTCAGCTGTCGAAACTCACGAACACCGGACTCCCTGGAAGCGTGGTGTATGAACTGTTTGTAACACGCTACTCCGCGCCGCTGCTATACTTGGAGACGGCACAGAGCACGGTATCAGAGCCGTCTGCCCACGGAATCCCGCGTCATAGAGTGGGAGTGGGCCGTGTGTATAATAAAATATGCAGATGTTGACGCCAACCTAATGGAGAAAATTAACAAGATTCTATAATAACACAATTTGATTATACCTATCATACAACTCATTTCATAATTGTATCATTTGTCTTGCAAGGTCTTTGTCAATGATTTGTCAGGTTGCGACCATTGGCGCGCTAATTGGGATGGTTTTTATGAATGGCTTTAAATGTATCCTCGCTTGCCAATCAAATTTATGGTGCAGCGGGATGTTTGCAGCCGGCCTGGTGAAGCCTTCCGGCCACCTTCATTTTTTTTCTTGTGTGGAGAAAGCAGCGAGCACTGCACCGCGAAATTTGGATAGCTCATACCACGTTAATTTTACATCACGTGTTCGGCTCGCTACAGAAGTCGGGTTTAACATCAAGCCGGGTTTAATAGCTATGCATCACGTCACTCCCACAACTTTTCTTCTGGATGTTTGAAACTCAATGTATTGCATGAGTGTAACAGTTGCAATAATTCATGCACCTCAGATTTGTGTTTATGTGAGTACGATTGAGGTGCATGAGTCAGGTCAGTTTCTTTGCCGTAACTTTGCCGTAATAAAAACAAACACGTCAAACCTGCAAGATATTTTCATAATCGTAACACCTCTACCATGCCCATAAGCAATAAACAAGGTGCAGCTGATGACTAGCGGTCACGCAAAAGGTCATTTGAGGTCATTTAAGGTCACCAGCAGTTTTCTGGGCGAGACGTTTTTATGTAGACCAAGATAAAAGCACCTGAA